CCCTATGCAGAGAAGTTTCATGGCTACAGAATGAGCAGGGCCCTAACTCCATTTTTAAAGCTGGGTGGACCCTGTCTGTTGACAGTGTGTCATACGAGCAGGAAAATGGAGAACTCCAAAGTCCGACGCCGCTTCTCTTGAGCAGCCTCCTTTGGCTGTCCTTCAAGGGTGGTGGTCCATGTCAAACGCTGACGGAAGATTTGTCCAGCCTTTTGGTGATGCTGAGAAAGGGTGATTGTGAAAAATGGAGAAAAGCTGGAGGATCCTTCTGTGCTTCACCTGGAAATAACACTTAACAAATAGACGATGCACTCCGTTTCTGTAAATCAGACTTGGCCATTGCTTTTCTTTGGAGAGAGGTTTTTTTTGTTTCCCGCTTGGGAGCAGCTAAGCCAGCAAAGCAGCACACAAACCTTGGCAAGGGAGAAGCGTTTTCAGGCAGGGTCACGGTGCAACTTATTCCTTGCTGTACGTTTGAAGCTTCTGGGTGCAAACAAATCAAAATTGCTTGTCAGTGTAAGTTGTTGGGTTTGGAGGTTTGCTTGGTTGCCTTTTTTGTTGTGTTTTTTTCCTACATGCAGCAGTCTCACTGTCTTTTCTTCTTTTTCTTCTTCCTCTCCAGGCCCTCAAACTGACACGAGATGTAGAGAGAGAACCCTTTGCCAAATCTGCTGTCAGCAAGTGGACAGTGATACTGTTTACAGCTTATGACCTTTGTGAACCCTGCATTATTTTCCTAACGAAGCAGACTGTTAATAGGCCCCTGACTGAAGATCCTCCTTTTTTTTTCCTTTTTCTTTTCCCCACTTTTTTTTGGGAATTGAACTCATTCTGAAGTATGCAAAATCTTCCTTTTCTGGGATGGCCAAGCACCTGCTGTGGAGACAATGTTCAGCACCATCCTGTTGAGAACACACTGTGTAGCCTTTACAGTCGTTACTTGTCAATGAGTATGTGGTGTTTCAATATATTAATGGTTTAGGGGATGTTTTAAGTTGGCTTTTCTTTTTGGAGGTTTTTCCCATCTGCCCACCCTCCGCCCTACAACCTCCAGTTTGATTTCCTTAGATTTTTGACCATTTTTGCTTTCTCTCCCTGGGGAATCTGAAGTACTGCGCACATGCAAGGAAATGATCATAACCCAACGCTGCTCAGTCGTCAGGGTTTTCTGAATATACAGTGTTTGTTATACCGATCAACTGGCTGAATTCCAGAGAGAGGTGATGTGTGTGGTCTGTTCGTTTGTTGGGTTGGTTTGTTTGTTTCTTTCTTATTCTTTCCTTAAATTCAATGGTACACCCCTGTTTTCCGTAAGCGTCAAACCAGGGTCGATAGCAAAACAGGGGAAGCCCGTGAGTTTGCCTCTTGGCTCGTGGGGACGGACTGACAGCGGGTGCCGTTGCCCGCACGTGCGCCCAGGCAGGAGCCTGTTTGCTGCCCGCTGGAGCAGGCTCCCCTCCTGCCTTACGTTAGCAGGGCTGCCTCTACTGCCGCAGCGAGCTGGTAAGGAGTTATAAGCCAAGCTGCCAGGCAAGCTGAACATAGCCACCTGTAAAGATGTGTTTGAAAAAGTGAAAATTAAGGGAAATAACGCCACTTCGCAGAAAAGCGAAGCATAGAGGCTGGGCATTGGCAGGTGACTCTCAGTGGCAACGCCGGGAGTTGAGGCACAGGTCGTTGCAGGGTGTGTTACTGCATCAGTGATCCTTTGTTTTGTTTTGTTTTGTTTTGGACATATCCTTGCTTATTTTTTCCTTCTCATTATGTATAATCCGTTGTGGCAGAAGAAGCAGGAGAGGGAATGGCAAGGTGACAGTATCATACAAATGGCTTTTCATATGAGTATAGAGTGTAACAAGATAAATGACACTGAAAGACGAGGCAGTTTTATATATTTTGCTTCTAAGATTTTCTTTTGTAAAATGAATAATAATTAATAATGAATAAAAGGTATGGTGCTGTATAGATCCTCTCTATAATCTGGAAAGTTTGATTACTTTTTATTAGTATCTTGGGAGGGGGGGAGGGATAAAAAAAAAGAGGGGAAGACACCAATGGTACATAGGAACTCGGTGTGAAGAGGTTCTGAATAGGACAGTGTATACAGAATTCTCCAAAGCGATATATGAAGTTTTTTTTCTTTGCATAAAAGCATTATGCATATAAATATATAAATATATTTTATTATGTACAGAAATGGATCATTATGCATGGATGTTAGGAAAACAAACTAGCCTTTTAACCCAAAGTCTCAGTGCATGAGTTCCCACTGACCCGTGTCCCATGCAATGTGGAGTGACTCCCTCTCGCCACTGCCGCCGCACATGCACAGTCATGCACACACACACACACGCACGCACGCACACGCACACGAGACACATGCATTTGTGGGCCCTTCCTTGCTCCTTACGTCCCAGGTCCCTGAGGTGATATTGGTGAAACAACAGCTCCCAGTGTGATGGAAGTTTTGGTTTTGTATCGTAGCCCCCACAGCGTTCTCTCGTAAAGATGCACTTCTTGGTTTCTCCCCGCCGTTATGACTGTGTAGACTCTGTGCGGTTGTGGTTATCGTAGCCCTGTAGCATATCAACTCTTCCAAGCAGCCAAGGGTTTATCATTTGCCTTTTAAAAAAAACTTCTCTTTTCCTTTTACACTGAGGTGGTCTATTTGTCAGCGTGGGGGCTAGTTTATTACATTTATTGGAATTAGCTGATGCTCGTTGCCCATCTCTGTCAGCAGCCAGCTACCCAGGATGCTTGTGTGGCACAGTGGTCACCTGGGCTAGAGGTCGCTTTGCTTATCGGAGTCCCGTTGCATGTACCTTTTACCAAAATTGGTTGAGAGCTTTATCACCAGCCTCCTCTGAGCGTGTAGCATTAGCTCTCAGCTTCCCGGTACACCCCGCAATGCGAGTGTATGCTGAAGGACTTCCCTCCAGTGCTCCTTTCCCCGAGGCTCCTCTGTGGCTGCTGCCCTGTGGCTGGGCTTGTCCCCATGCCCCGCGGTTTTGGCCGCCAGCAGAGCTCACTCAGTGGCTCCCCGTGCCAGGGTGCAGCATTTGGCCCCTGCACGGGTGAGCCTCCAGTGAGACCCAGGGTGCCTGCCCAAAGACCACCGACCAGGTCGCTGACAGCACCAGTAAGGCCTGACTTTAATGTATGGCCAAGGTGACCAAAATCCATAATTTTATTTTTTCTCTTCGTATGGATGCAGTTCCTGTCAAAGGCAAGCAGAGGCCCGTTAGCTTAAACCAAGTTTGGGGCAAATTCTGCTCTGCTACGGCAGCCTAGCTCCCCTGAGTTCAACGGAGCTAGCTCCTGATGGCAGAAATGAGAGAGAAAACTATGGTCCGCTCTGTTCAGAAAATGGAGAAAAAACATTTGATTTAGAGACAGCCCGTCAATGGCAGAGAAGTTTTTTTTTTAAAAAAAAAAAGCATTAGCAGCTGAAAGGCTTAACCTGCCTCCCAGCAATGTCAAGGAAAGCATTTCCATTGGCGTGGCAGGGACGCCTTGGGCCCCTGCTTTGGAGAACATCCCAGCACTCGCTGAAGAGGGGGGGGACTTGGCCAACCTCTTCGGTTTGGTTTGGTGTGGTCTCTGTTGCTCATTTTTGGGGCCAAAATTTTCAAAACCAGAAGTGCCTGGTGTCAGGCACCGAACATGGGGGACTCCGGTGTGGTTGCGGGGGGCGAGCTGCTCTGCCCTCATCGCTTCTCGAAGGAAGGAGAGGTGCCAGGTCTCCCAGGCCCAGGGGAAGGTCACCACCCTCTACGCCTGCTGAGGTGCCCAGCAAACGCCCTCCTCTCCAGAGGTGCTCAACAAATCTCACTAGATTCAAAGGGCCACTTATTTAGGTGTCAAAATACAGACTTGAATGGCTAATTTGGGGAACCTACCTTTTGAAAATCTGGCCCTTGAGTCTTTGAACATGTTTATGCCTTGAAGTTTTCCTTCTGAAACCATGTAAAACAGATAAAGGTCCAGAACAATTAACATAGGTATCATTTAAACACTCGGTCTAAGCAAAAGGTCTAAAAGGGTGACATTCATGCAGTTTCTAGTCACAGGTTTGGGGCTTGATTTAACAATTTTGTAAAAAAATTTTCTCTTGACAATAATTGGATAGTTGACCACGGCTTAACTCCAGAAATTTTTGTGCCACCACTTCAAAAAGTTACCTTTTAGGTCATGTATTTCTCTAAAATGATGTCATTGCTTGGCAATCGGTGTCCTGTAAGTGTTTCTAGTACACGATATACCTTAGGAATTGCCAACAAATGTGAAGGGGGACCAGATACATTTCGTTACTATGGGTTGGAAAAAATGGATTGTACATTTGGCTTCACATGTTTAACTTTTTTTTAAAAAAAGTTGCATGATTGGAAAAAATATGTATACAGTATCTGTAAAACTGTTTTATCTGTTTTTGTTTCAAGCCATGTAAATTGGAAGAATATTAAATCCACAGCCTTATCGTGCATGGCCGTCTTTACATACCGAAGAGCCGAACAGTTTATACTTTTCATTTGGGCTATCTTGTACTTTCATTTGAAAGCAGACACTCTCATGTTGCAGTCTTACCGAGGATTTTATATTAAAAAAAAAAGAAAAAAGATGCTGCCCTGGAGGAATATACTACCTTACTACACAGAGGTTGGAAGAAAGTTTGTTTTGGAGCAAAACCTGCCCCTTTCCAAACGAAGTAGAGACGCAGTGCTTACTCCACGTGGTGTTAGTAGATATTGCCTTGTGTATTCCATTTTAAATTGTAATCTAGTTTGTAAAAGAGGTGGTGACGCATGTAAATAAAGCATAATGGATCCCTACATTGCACATTTGCCTTCGCTCTGTTTCATTGTGTCGTGGGCAGACATCTAAGGACAGGACCTGGAAAAGGGGTGGCTTCCGAGCAGCGGGTGAAACCGGCTGGTGGGGGGTTGAGGCTGGGGAGGGGGCCTGGTGCTACATCTGCTGGAGTCTGCGAGCACGTATTTACGTGGGCCTCTGCACTTCAACCCTTCAGCCAAGCCAGCGGAGTTTTGGTGGTGAAATAACCTCCAATGGGATCATTTACTTCTGCTAAAATCACAAAGTTCACTTGATTTTTTTTTGGGGGGGGGGGGGGGGTTTTGGAAAGACTGTATTTCATTGAGCATGATGCTGAATGTTTTCTCCAGTAAAAACAAAAAGTTTCTTTTTTTTTTTTTTGGGGGGGGGGGCGGGTTTTGTCCCCTGGGATGGCAACAGCACCCTCCAGCTGCAGCCCAGCTTGCCCGTCCTGGAAGACAACCAGCCCCGCTGCGAATTGGTCAGGAGAAGAGTTACACCCCCGTGGGCTTGGCTGGGTTTCAAACTGTCTTTGAAAATTGCCTGGAGTACTTGAAACTACCCGTTTGGGATTTGGGATAAGAAAACCAGCAGCCTGACTCAGCAGAAAGTTATACCGAGGGCTCTGGCCAAGGCACAGGAGAGCGTGCTGAGAAACATGAGGCGTGTCGACAAAAAACTCTATTCCCACCGTGATGGTAAGCCACAGATGTATATGTTTTTCGGGAGTCATTTTTCAAGAGCAAATGATATTTTCAAGAAAGAGGAGCCTTTACGCGCAGCGGGGAGGGGTTTCGCGTGACTCTGGGGGGATGACCGCTGTGTCGTCCGTGCAAAGCCCCCGGGAGCGTTGTACTGCAGTATAAAGAGCAGCTTGGGGATATCCTTTGTTTAACATAGCAAGAGCTATTCAGGCTTTGTCCTAGCTAGAGATAGGCTGAAATATTACA